CTCTTGCTGCAGAAGGTAAACAACTATAGTCTTCAATATGGACTGAAGCTCAACATCAAGAAGAAAAAGATTCTCAACACAAAGTCAATTGGTAGCACCATGATAGATGGAGAAGAGATTGAGGTTGTTAACAATTACAGCTTGCTTGACTCCACAATCAACACTTCTGGCACCAGCAGTCAGGAAATCCAGACATTGCATTGGGAAAACCTGTGGTCAGGGACCTCCCCAGAATACTGAGAAGCAATGATGTCGGTCTAAAGACTAAGGTGCAACTAATCCAGGCCATGGCTTTTGCAATTACTTGCTATGCATCAGAGAGCTGGGTAATAACTAAAGATGACAAGAAGAAGAATTGATTCCTTCGAGTTATAGTGCTGGAGAAGAGTCTTGACCATACCATGGCTTGCCAAGAAAATAAATAAGTCTGTCTTGGAGGGGGTCAAACCAAGTTTCTCCTCAGAGGCTAGGTTTTTGAAGCTCAATCTCACATACTTTGGGTGTGTGGCCAAGAGGGACTCGTCCTTGGAGAAAAGAAGAACATCCCACTCTGAAGAGTGGAGGGACAGTGCAGGAGAGGAAGACCCTAGATGCAATGGATTGATACAGCCATTGGAATAATGTTGGTAGGTGTGTTGAAATCAGTAATACTGACTCAGAACAGGGCAGGCTTCAGAGCTACTGTACATGGAGTCACTATGTAGGGCAGATAACTCAGTGGCATACACCACTACCATCAACAACAATATAAATGTTTACTTATGTTTTATGGATTACACAAAGACATTTGACTACGTGGATCATAACAAATCTTGTCTAACATTGATAAAAATGGGAATCCTAGAACATTTAATTGTGCTCATGAGAAACCTGTACATAATCCAAGAAGCTATCCCCACAGAACACTAAAATGGGTAAATTATATTACTTAAAATCAGGAAGGGAATCCATCAGAGCTGAATCCTTTCTCCATACTTATTCAATCTGTGTGCTGAACAAATAATTATAAAAATATGGACAATATCAAGAAAAATTAGGCATCAGGACTGGATGAAGGCTCATTAACAACTTAGGTAGATGATACAATCTTGCTTAAAGAAAGTAAAGAAGAATTGAATTAACATAATGCAGATGATCAAAGACTACAGTTTCAACATAAATTGCATCTCAAT